GACTACAACATTGATGGTTACCACACCCTAGATTTGAACTTGTACAACACATCTGGTCGAGGACTGTTGGTTTATATACATGAATCCTTAAGTTTTAAAGTTCGCAACGACCTTAATGTCGGATTGAATGATTGCATTTGGCTTGAAGTTAAAGTACAGAATAAGTCATTTTTGTATGGTCTCTTCTATAGATCTCCTTCTCAACTGGCTGCCACTAGAGACCAATACATGTTCAATCTCAATGCCAATATTGAAAATGTTTTAAAGGGAAACTCTGACCTTATAGTTTTTGGGGGGGATTTTAATGCCAGAAGTAAAAAATGGTGGCCAGATGATGTAAATAGTAACGTTGGTAACTTGCTTTATGACATTTGTGTGAATAACTCACTTACTCAGTTTATAGAAGAACCCACAATAATTACTACACAATCTAAATCCTGTCTAGATTTAATTTTTTCAAATTTTCCCGGCCGAATTTTGAAAACTGAAGTTAAACCACCTATTGGTGGAACTGATCACTGTTCGACTTTAGCATCACTTGATGTCTCACTACCAAACAAACAAAATGTGGTTACTAAGAGATCGTGGCTTTATAGCGAGGCAAATACAGTCAACCTGAATCAGGCTGTTAAGGATTTCGATTGGAACAGTATTTACCTACAAGATGATGTTAACAAAATTACATCAGATTTTACTACTGCACTTTTTCATATATTTGAATCCCATATACCAAGCAAAGTTTCAACCTTGAAAACTAGTGATATGCCCTGGTTCAACAAGGATATCAAGTCAGCTCTCAATAAAAAAGATAAATTGTACAAAAAAATGAAAAAGGACAGCAATGACTTAAACATCAACCAATTTAAAAAGCAAAACGCATATCTTACCAAATTAATTACTGACTCAAAGAACAACTATCAAGATAAACTTTGTAATAACTTGGATGAAGAAGTAGCAAATGGCCTAAACTACTGGACAATTATAAAGAAACTTATAAGAACCAAGTTTTCAACAGGCATTCCTCTTCTTGAGATAAATGATAAAATTATTGATGATGACCTTGGAAAAGCAAATGCTTTTTTAAATAAGTTCATGACTAAGTTCCACCATAATATAATTGATAAGTCATTGCCGCCCTGTCCTATGAAAACAAATGAATCTTTGACTTACATAAATATTTCTCGAAAAAATATAAATGATAACTTACGGAACCTTAATTCATCCAAAAAAGGTGGAGAAGATAATATCACTAACAAAATGTTGAAACTTGTGGCTGACTCTATCGATGTTGAACTAGTTAAATCATTTACTATTTTCTTGGAGACAAATACATTTCCTGATTGCTGGAAACTGGGTATAATTGTTCCTATATATAAGAATAAAAATTCAAAAACAGACCCATCCAACTACAGACCAATCTGCCTCCTCAATAATCTCTCAAAGCTTTTTGAACGAATAATTTATACAGCAATTTTTGACCATGTTTCCTCGAAGAACCTCATTTATGAAAATCAGTCCGGGTTCTTACCAGGCCATAATACACAGAAGCAACTATTTTCTATTGTTAATATGTTAGCCGATAATTTTGACTCTAACCTAGCAACCCGTGGAATATTTTTAGACGTGGAAAATGCATTTGACGCAGTCCCACATTTTTTGTTACTCCATAAGATGAAATCTTATGGATTAGGCAACAATATTATAGAGTTATTGACCTCATATCTAACAGACAGACAGACAGGAAATTAAAAGTAAGGATCAATGATACTTATTCAGACATTTCATGTAATGCTGAAACTGGTGCAAATATTCCTCAAAATCTTCAAAATCGAGACTCCAGATCCTATGAAATAAATAGTGGGGTTCCCCAAGGATCAATTCTTGGCCCCCTATTATTTTTGTTATATATTAATGACTTAGCAGACTCAGTTCATAATTGTAAACTTTTCTTATATGCTGATGATAGTTCGATCTTCTTGACAGTACCAAAGAATGAATCAGTTGAAACAACAAATCAAAAAATTCAATCAGATATCAATGAAATGGCTAATTGGTCCACTAAATGGAAACTCAAATTTAAGGCATCTAAGAGTAAGGAGGTTATCTTTCAATCTAAACACACACGAAAAGTTAAGAAACAAATTCCAGTAACAATGAATAATGAGCAAATACCTCTTGTAAATAGCCATAAACATTTAGGCATCATTTTAGACAAACACCTTAGCTTTGAAGAACACATTAACTCAGTGATTACTAGGTGTAATAAAATGTTAAATCCATTAAAAGCACTCAAATTTTCAGTAAGATCAAAACACTTACATACAATTTACATGGCATTCATTCTCCCACATCTCGAATATGGCAATATTATTTTTGACAGCGCAAATCTAAACCTCTTAGCAAGTTTAGATAGAGTCCAATATAGAGCGGGTCTTATTGTAAGTGGTTGCATCCAAGGGTCAAACTCTGAGAAGGTGATGGCATGTCTTGGATGGAGATCCTTATCCAATCGAAGAAAAGAAAAAAAACTAGTTTTTATGTTTGACTTTGTAAATAATTATAAGATGCCTTCATATGTTTCAAATGTTTTTGAACAGTATAAGAATCAGGTAACCCACCAAAGACTTCGTCGTACCAATGATTTTAAGATCCCATTCAAAGCATCTGCTCAACTTAGAAAGTTTACAGCTTTATCCAGTATTAAATTATGAGATAATTTACCTGATGAACTGAAACAAGCACACTCACGCAACTCATTTAAGTATAAAATTAGAACATTTTTGAATGGGAAAAAGAAAGAATTCACAACCCCAAGATTAAACCTATCCAGAGATAAAGAAATTGTCTTAAATAAAACGAGATGTGATCTCATTTTTAGGCAGCATCTTTTTACACATAACTTCAAAAATATTCCAAATGCCAAATGTAAATGTGGTCACTCTACTGAATCAACCAAACACCTATTGCTCCATTGCCCTCTTTTTAACACTCAAAGACTCAATTTTCACAGAGAACTAGGGGGACTGCCATCCTTTAATTTAAACTCTTTTAATAATAGAAAACAGGAGGACAGGGTAGACTTTCTACTTTTTGCAGATCCTTCTCTTGACACAATTACAAATAAAAAGGCTATTGAATTAACAGCCGAGTTTTTACACTCTATTGTCAAGGAAGTTAAATAGTCCAATATTCATTAATTTATACATATATCTCTGACCTGTCTTCATGTTTTCAAGATTATTTTCATGTTCATAAATATGTTCTATATCTATCATTTTTACATTATGACCTATTTTAACTTATATTGTAACTACTTCAACAGGGCCAATAATGCTTCGGCGTAGGCCCTGTATCTGTTTGTATGATGTATTATGAAATAAAGGAAATATAAACATTTAAAAAAAAACAAAAAAAAAACACCAACAATAATGAAATCAGACAAGTAATAAAATATTGCAGAAGGGGGTCCAAATGACTGACCCCTCCCCTTGCGCCTTAGTGTCATAATAATACTGTGCCATACTAGGGTTGACACTAAAATCGACTAGATAATTTATGTTCTATCAACGTTTGGAGAAAATAATCTGTTGCAAGATTCGTTTCTTAAACAGTGTCTTGTCTAAATAACAATGATGAATTTTCAATTCAATTCAATTCAATTTATAAATTAAAAATCATTCATACAATGCTTCATACAATATATGAACATGAACACAAATGTGTACAAAATGTCCCCACCAATTGGTGATCCCGTCAAATGGTTATCCTGAAAATGAGTAGACAAGACTTTACTGACACAATTTAAGGACGGAAAATCCAAAATGGCTGCCTTAAAATTTACCCAGAATCCCCAAAAATTAGTTAGTTCTAGATTTTCATATACTAAGAATCACCCCTAAAATTTTGAAATTGATCCGTCAAACAGTTAAACAAGACTTTACAGACAAGATTTTAGGATGGAAAATCCAAAATGGCTGCCTTGACATTTACCCAGAATGTCAAAAAACTAATCAGTTCTAGATTTTCATACTAAGAATCATCTCTGAAATCATCACCTGAAAACGCGTAGACAAGACTTTACAGACAAGATTTTAGGACAGAAAAATCCAAAATAGCTGCCTTGACTTCTACCTAGAATGCCAAAAAACTAATCAAATTCAGATTTTCATACTAAGAATCATCTCTGAAAATTCGAAATTGATCTACCAAACGGTTCACCCAAAAACGCGTAGACGAGACTTTTCAGGCAAGATTTTAAGACGGAAAATCCAAAATGGCTGCCTTGACATTTATCAAGAATGGCAAAAAACCAAATCTAGATTTTCATACTAAAAATCATCCCTGAAAATTTGAAATTGATCTAACAAATGGTTCACCTGGAAATGCGTTGACAAGACTTTACAGACAAGATTTTAGGACGGAAAATCCAAAATGGCTGCCTTGACATTAACCCAGAACGCCAAAAAACTAATCAGATCTACATTTTCATACTAAGAATCATCCCTGAAAATTTGAAACTGATCTACCAAACAGTTCATTTTAATTTTTAAAATTCATCAGAATTTGTTTTAACTCAGTTCGATATAAAAATAAAACACTCTCCCTATATACCATTAGTCTTCAAGTTCCTCTTGTATTAACGAAGGTAATATGGGAATTGGTAGCAAAATAACTAAACTTAAATTTATGCTCTATAACACTGTCATCTGTATTATCATCAGTACCATTAATAAACCTAATAATCGATTATCATAGATGTTGTGTTTTTCTTTAAAAATACACATACTACATGCTATACTCACAAAGCCTCAAAATGAAGCCCATGTTCCATACGAGGATATATGAGAAAATCTGCTTTAAACCAATCCTTTCTGTTTGTATTCTGTGTTAGAAATGTGAGATTAAAGACTTCCACACCATCTTTAAATAAAGATAATTTGACCTGGAAAAGGTAGAGTACCACAAATAGAATAAATATATTTTAACCTTTGTCAAGCTGACATACAAATGGTTACATAACAAGTCGTACTTTGTCATTAGTAAAATATTACTTTTTGTGCTTAAAGTCAAGAACATTCAAACGTTATCTATGTCAATGACATGTAGATGTTTTACTAACTAAAACATAAAGTGTCTTTCTACGTTTCTAAATATTCAAAGTACTTGTTTTTACATTGCTCGCAGTACTGAGTATACGTCTCTATATATTTCTCTGAAAATGACGAACTTACCAAGAGTTCGACAGCTGATTCATACGCATGTAAGGTATTTTTCTTTGAAGAAGACGCATGGCAATCGAGGTTGACTAAAGGGAGAACAAATAATGTTCAGTCAGGTAAGTCTTATTAAAATCAATGTGTCGAAAACTTAAATTAGTTAAACTTTTTAGTTTTAATAGAATCAAACCACTTTTTATGCTTTGATATTTGAACCAAATCTGGCTTATATGACATAGAAATCCAGGATTATGATAATTTGCTCATATGAGCCTATATGTCGTGCGTGGGTGCCACGTTGCAATGATATCTTCCACCGCTTTAGGGAAGGTTACTAGAAATATATGATACGGTAACGGTTGTGTTTGTTTTCAAGATGACCCTTTCAAGATGTCCTTTGTTCAAATTTTTCCACAATTGTTTGCAAAATCTCCAGAATAACTTTTTAAGTCATGAAAAATAGTAAATGAATGACAAATACATATTTCCAAACTCTACATGGGACTTAATAATACAAATGAAATTGCGATATAAACGTTAACAGGCTTCGATTTCCCATCCAATGAATATTTTCGATTGCCAACCTTATGTCGCGGAGGTGTTTATGATGGGACTATAAGATTATCATAGATCCTTAAAAATGTTGTTTTTTGGCTTAAGATTTAAGCATATTTGTTTATTTATTCATAGCATTATGTCGATATGGAGAAGGTGAATGCTTCAATGGGCATAAAAACTGGGGACAAAATCCTAACGATCGCTGCAAATGGAGCTCACGCACTGTCTAAACTGCTTGCTGACCCCGAAGAAGTCATCGCATTAGATGCCAGCGCACCTCAACTTCATATGGCAAAGCTACAAGCATCAGCTATGAAGCTCCTATCCAGAGAACAATTTTGCACGCTGATAGGCATCGACAGAATGCGTATTCCTTCAGAAGAAAGAATAAAAATGTATCGGAATATCAGATCTTCACTGGAATCTGAAACAATGGTATATTGGGATGCGTTTATTAAAACAGGATCTTAAGAGGTTCTGGACAAATCATTTGATTCTGGACTTGACATATTTTTTTTCCAACGAAATCACATCCAAGGGTTGAATTTTTATTGGATATTTAGAGAGCGAGTCCTGTATTGATTTCAATAAAAAGGTTAAAATAGAACGCTATTTGAGAGTTAATCTTATACTTTCATTACATTGATAAATTAAGGCAAATTATGAAAATTTTTAAAGTGCATTTTTTATGAAATATTATCCAAGTATTTAGATGAAACGGTCTTATTTAAATACAAATCATAACATGATGATATTTTTTCATAAAATATTTCTTCAAGAAATTCAATTGAAGGCTCAAGATAAAACGAGCTAATTTAGGTGAAAACCCTTACATGATGATGTGTTTTCATGACTTCTTTCATAAAATTCCATCAAGGGGTGAAAATAAAATGATCGAATTTAAGTGATTTAAGGATCACGAGGATAGGTTTTCTTGGATATTTTCTATGAAATCCCATCCAGTGGTCAAGGTAAAATTTTTATTTGGTATATTTGGTCACGTGTTCGAACCCATAGAACCATATAGGAACGTCATTTTGAATGTTACGTGATAAATCCATATAAGGCTTTTAGAACAATGTGGGGAAAGATGAGGGGAAACCCCTGACACCTGTTCACGATTTTATCCGAACGTTCATTGGATCATTTCGGTTTTTATGCACTTCATTATTTTACCGAAGTTTGCCGATTCGATTCGTCGTATTTCGGAATATTGGGGACAATTTTATACTCCATTGGGAGTATTTTTAATCTACTTCTTATTACGAAGATTCCCGAACCTTGTTCGGATTAATCCGGATTTTCTGACCTACTTCATCTACCGAGATTTAACGAGTTTACATTCGGCTCATTTCGGAATCCTGGTGACAATTTTATACTCCATTGGAGTATTTTTGATCTACTTCTCTGGATTTTTGATCTACTTCTTATGACGAAGATTCCCGAATCAGTTCGGATTAATCCGGATTTTCTGACCTACTTTATCTACCGAGATTTAACGAGTTAACATTCGTCTCATTTCGGAATCCTGGTGACAATTTTATACTCCATTGGAGTATTTTTGATCTACTTTTTCTGGATTTTGCCCTACTTATTATAAGTTGACAGCAAGCAAATCAAAAAGTTCGCCATGAACGGGTTTCGATCGACTAACCTAGAGAGTGGAAGCTAAACACGCTAGCCATGAGGCTAACGTTCACCTGTGTGAGATGATAAAAGTATCATATATTTATACCGAGCGTCAATTTAGAATGATCTTCGCTTTTGACTCCACTTAGATACAACTCGTCAGTTGTATCCAGAATAGGTGAACGCCTATGGTGTTAGTGAATAACCAAATCCCAGGCGAGTGGTTCGTATCCCACCGTGATATGTTATTTTTGCTTTATTAATACGACAGAAAGGAGCAAGGTGTAGGTTTGAAAACAAGACGTACGTTTATTTCAATACAGTTTTAGAAACATTAACCTCTGATAATTGAAGGATTTCCACTTCTGAAGCGCGACTAGATCTAAGAAGTTCATTAATCAAGACAGTGTAAACCTTTTAGATATATGTTAGACAATGTACACGCCCCGTGTGGAATCAACTAAATGTTACATTTTGGATTTCATTGAGATCCTGTCATAGTCCTAAAATTTATTTTTCTGGAACATCATTTTTTCAACACTGATACAAATTTCCCTGACATTTCCATGACATGTCTACAGTTTCAAAATTCCCGGACTCTTTGGCCCTTTTTGACCTTATTTTAAAATTCTCTGACATTTCAGGCACTTGGAAAATTAAATCAAAACCCTGACATTTCCAGGTGTGTACGAACGCTGGAATTATTCTTAAAATATCCTTCAAACAAAAGGGGAAAATGCTATGCACAAATACTCTAATTTAGTTTGTATTGTAATGCGTTGTATTACATTGCATTGCATTGTATTGTGTATTTATTTGAGTGTCCGTTGACGGTAAAGAAGGCATTTAAAAGTTATTTGTGAAACTTAATAAACTTAATAAACAATACTTTAACAGTATTCTGTTATGGCAAAGTATATTTCATGTTTCTCTTGTTCTCTACAATCTGCGTTGAGGACACTGAAGCATATGTCTGTATTTTGTTGGTGGGGAACAGCGTATCCTATCGTTCACGGAGCAAATTCAACTCTCGTTCACGAGTACCTTGTTTTTGGGCTCTTGTCCCAAAGATAACGATTGTATAAGGTTGCATAATCAGGATTATGAGCTTTCATGTTCTCATAGTTACATCTGTTGTAAAACGAATCTTGTCGCAACCTCTGCGAATCACGACAGCATAACATTTGAATCACGTTGACATCATTGCAAAATTAGGCTAAATATGCTAAGTCAAGACGTTAATTAGCCCACGAAAGTTCATGGGTAACTTGAGAACTACAAAATACAACCAAATACTTTTCGAACGTACAATAGCAATATTTCTCACCTAACGTCTTCATAGTTTTAGGAACGTATTTTAAACGCATGATAGCCAAATATATCAAGGTACTATATCTGCCTAAATGAAGTTATCTAGTGTTTACAAAGTTTTGAAATATATTATATCCAGATCCATCAGAAATTAACTTATCCATTTACATTACTTTACTAGTTCTAGTATCTTGCATGACTCGTTCATAAGAATTCTTTAATTCTACCTCGTTCCCAATACGTCCTCAGACAGACAAGAAATTGAAGTCACACCCGTTTGTTTGCGTGGCCTATTTATACGTATACGCACTTTCTCTGATTATTGTCAAACAAATACATTTCAGGAGAAGAACATAAAAAACAAATGCCTGAAACGAATGCCGAAACATAAATCCCAAGTGATTAAGTATAGAATGTTTTATTCTTTTACGATTTGATAAGAGACCGAGACTAAGAAATTAAATGCGACGAAATATTTCAACAACGTAATTTGTATACTGTTTTATTCTTAAAGTTCTATGCGATAAATTATTTTATCTGTTTCAAAATGTTTCATTTTATTTTGCCTATATAAAAGAGATTGAAGAAGATAAGATAAACTGTTCCGTAATATATATTGTGTTTTAATAACCTTTTTTTAGAATCACAATGTAAAATAAATCTCCCGTTCCTGCCATTCTGGTAACGCCATGCAATGGATGCAATTCAAAGTGAGAGAGAGATCTATGAATAACAGAATGCGTCCATGCCATTAATTTGGCCAAATACATGGCATGAAACTGACGTAAGTTTAAGTAAGCTACGCCCCCCGCTTTCTCTGGTAAATTATGACTTTATTTTTCGGAGTAATGGGTTTCGGACAACTGGGTTTCGGAGAACTGGGGTGTACCCGATTACGCTTTGCACGCCGCTTTAAAATCCCGATGTCTCCAGAGGTAGTTTAATCCGGTAGCCGACAGGCGTTTCTTGCATTATTGAATACAAGCTAACCTTATATTCGCGAATGCAACTAACGCCTTCCGGCTACCTGATTAACCCAGTATAATATGACCAAGTCATTTAAATATGAATGGAATAGTGGCAGGTACTATTCGTATTGACATGAGTTTCCAGTAAAATAATAGGTTAATCCGGTAGCCGACAGGCGTTAGTTGCATTTGCGAATACAAGCTAAGACTATGATTTGGGAATGGAAGATTTCAGCTTCCGGATTAACCTACCATTCTATGGGCGACTCATTTAAATATGAAAAGAACCTGACAATATTCCATTGATATTTTAATGAATTGCCCATAAAATAGTAAAGTAGGTTTATCCGGTTAGCGGCATTCGCGAATACAAGCTCCTTAATTTCATAATTTGGGAAATATATATTTTCACAATATTGAAATAGATGGTGGTTCAAAGTGGAATACATATCATACAAGTGTCACAGATATTTTTAGTGCATATATGGTCTGTCTTTGCATGACTTTGTAGAACATATCAAAACCCTGGGATCCACAGGGTAACAGTAAGTACATTTCGTTAGATCTTCCGAAGTTCATGCTTCAAAGTTGTCAAAGTTGTAAAAGGGTAATCCTTTTTTGAGTACGAAAGCGTACTTTTTGTTCAATAGCCTTTCCCAGCTGCTAATCTTTTGAGTGCATCGTGCATTCAACGAATTGTATTCACTTATTAACCAATCAGTGCCAGGAACAAAATGCACGCTTACTTTTTGGGCTAAGTTTAGTGTTTTATGAAGCATGCTACATACAAATGTTACGCTTTTGCTCATTTACTTTGAGAACTATCTATAGGTACACATTACCAATTGACTCCTAGATTTGAGTGAACAAGTACCTCGTATTTTTCATTTTTCTATATTTTGAGATTTGTTGGCTGATGAGTAACTTGATATTTTATGTCTAAATATATTAAAGTGGTTAATAGTAATGGTTTTATTGTACACCATAAACTGTTAACGTTTTAGAATTGGGACACAATATATGATTTGATAATAGAACAATACATGTATATGTCTTACTCTAAACTCGGTGGTTTGTTTGTTAGTATGTTTTCTTAACAGCTCAATAACTGTTGTATTAATAAGGCGTTATACTATGAAAAAAAGATTGAACGATGTAGGCATAGGCAGAGGGAGTATCACACTACCCTACCACGTGAACACATTTAAAAAGAATACAGGGTACAGTTAAGTTGCAAATAGAGCGGGTATTCTTTGTCCTTTTCCATAGGACTTTTCTGGTGATAGTGCGTTGCAAACTGCTCGATGAATCTATACAATGTAAAATCTAGTATTCCTCCAGAACTATGGAAATAAACAAAGGTCCTCCATTTGCAACTTCACTGTAGCCTGTATTCCTTTTAAAGAAATACGGGCTACAGTATTGGGGTATAGTAGTTTGATTTTTCAATATATCACTAATCTAGCTTCTTTCCTTGAAAAAACATGAGTTTTGATGTACGTATATCAAACATGGGCCACTGCACTATATTGAACCAGGGTGCCGGTGTTACATAATGTGATTTTATGGGCCATCATACAACCACCTCTTGCCCACTTTATTCATGTTTTGGATTACAGTTTATACACAATGCATAAACAGCATGAAACAATCATTTCTACTTGTGGATTAGATTTGTATACATCTCTTTGTGAACTGAGTGTTATGTTCAATATGTGAAAATATCATGGACTTAAATTGTACTTATATTTATAACCTGACCACATTTGCATATGTTCAACAACTGACTGAGTGATCGAGTTCATCAAACAATGTTCGTAATAGAGGTCATGAACTTTGCTTTATTCATAATCCTATTTCTGCAACTGACTCATATTATGCATCTTATTATATAATATTATATGATTTATTTTGATTAGCAGTGTCTCATTAGCCATTGGTGGCTCGAGGCTTTTTGGATGATTGTACAGATGTATATGTATGAAATTAAGCATGCGACACTTAAATAAAAAACAATACAATATTAAGCTTATAAACTTGCTGATCATATGATTTTAATATTTTAATACTACATGATACTCATATCAAAATACCAATGTATTTGTGAACAACTCTTACGTTTGATATTGTACGAATTTTCTGATTTGCTGTAGTAGTCGTAAATGCAACATATAACAATGTTATGTTACTTTGTGTCATATGAAAAATAAATTCGTACAAAGATGAGTTTTATTTCGTTTGTTATTCAATGTAGAATACACGTTGTACATTATTTCATGTATAGGATATTGACAATAATCAGACTATCGTATTACAATACAGAAGAATAAAAGAGATAATGATATATGCATTCTAATTTGAGATTGACATGCGTAAAGGTATCAATATTTTATCTAGTATTTCATTTTATCCCTCCCATCCCATCCCACCCGCTCATCAGCAATCCCCAGAAAATTCGTTCGGTGCTTTTAAATGTTAATAGTTCGGTTGAGTTTTAAAAATAAATCTTAAGCACTTTAAATCTAGATAAAATATTCATGATTTGATTGTGATTATCATTTCTAATTATTACATGACGGTTCCATTACATTCAATGCGTATCTAATCCTCATAGTTTATACTCGATTTTCGACAGGTAAAGGTAATATATCAACCCTCGGTCCCTACTATTTCTCGTGTAGATATATTGCATAACTTTCTCAGATATATCCTGTATATTAAATACATTAAATAACATTATATATGTTAGTCTCAGCCTAGACAGTATATATATCAATTTTATTGGATAATGCCATGGGCTTTCCCACGATAATGCATAAATTCGAATGAACTTGAAATGAAATTCAACATCCAAAATGTGTTAATCTGATCATCCACCGTGTAACTAAAAGCATATTCATGGCCTATTTGCCTTAAAATACGATTGTGATTATGATTTCGAATTCTGTTCTCCATATGTAAAATCTAGAAACATAACAGAGTTAAGTTACACGAAATTCAGCCAACTTGAACATGAAGTCTTGTCAATTTACTTAATCGTTGATTGATTTCTAGGTTTATTAGAATTAAAAGAACGAACGTTTCATCAAACGAGTCCTATATTCAATATCTATTCGTTGGGCCCATTCTTTAAATGTAACTATATTCTTTTAACTTTAAAAGTATCTGTTTAGTGCTACTTTAACATATATTCATTATTTTTATCCGCACAACAGTATCAAACGTTAATGCACAACTAGCCATGCCAAGACATGGCCACTACCCTCGTCCAAAGTAAAATACAAGGTCCTCATTCTTTAATGATTATGTTTCAATTGATTTAGTTTAGTGATTTAAATGTAGGAAAATGAGTCGCTGTGATGTCATATCTGGCGCAGCAATTTCAGAGTCACTGCAAAAAATTGAAACATCAGTCGGATCATAAGACTAAATAAAAAGCTATTTAGGGATGAATAACATTCGGTGAAATCCGTGATATCGTTATATCATTCGTTAATTGTCAAAGCTGCGCCCATTTCTCGGTGCAGGCAGATATAAGGCGGCCAGACTGGGCATACACAAAATGTATTGTATGTGCTCCTTAGGTTGCACTCGGGTGCTATCAACATCGAACACACACACGTTTAAGATACACAGAGATAATTAAGGGATGAGTGACAAAGGGATGTTAAAAACAGGTGGCTATTGCAATTGATATTTTAATGTACATGTAACTTTAGTATGTAAGAATCTTTTCATCAATAAAAATAACATCTTAGATATTACAGCTACATGTACAATGTGAGTGTATTTAAAAATGTAGTACATAGCTAGTTCCATCTATAAAGATGTCTGATGACAAAAAGCTCAATTTTCCTTGATGTCGTGGTCAATGGGACTTTAACACGTGAACTAATGTTTTTTATTTTTTTGTTTTAAAGTCACTTATAGCAAACCTAATCTAACAATTATCTCACTATATGCTTATGACATATTCATGTATACGTTGTTTGTCTTTTTTTCAAATCAACCCACGGAAATATGCAATACACCAAGTTAAAAAAGTGGTACGAATCATAAAAGCGACGTTGGGTGTTTCACTAGTAATTTTTATATGAAAAATCTAGAAATATTACCCAAATTAAACTATGACTATTCAAAAGAAGACATTCAAATCTATATTATGTAAAAAAATCAAATTTGTCCGAAGCAGGGATAACGCTCAATTAGAGTGACGAACTTTGTTCTCCAAACCGAGAATGGTCTTTTATGAAAAAAGTTATGAAAACACATCACCAGATCATGTAAAGCTGTTTTACCTAAAATATCGTTTTATCTTCACCCTTCGATTGGATTTCATGAAAAAATATTTTTATGAAAAAATAGGATTTGTAGGATATCGACGCTCTAACATGTAGTTTTAATCACACGCAGGTACAGTACGTCTAATGGCACGCCTTACACCATACCATGTCGTCGGCATGCCGCCCGAATTTCGTGGTCAACTCGAACGCTTTTCGTGGTCACCGCGGGCGCGTCACGAGTGCGCTTCAAGCTCATCGCGGGGTGATTTCATATGTACAGCGGAGTTGGTTTATTCGCGTAGCTTTCGCTCACCATTCGTTGCACGGACGCCACATTATAATTTCATGTAGTTAAGTGTTTTAGATTCCATTTACTTACCCGATGGACGAATGGTAAAAATTATTATCTTTCAACGTTAAATTACACGATCTTTCATTTCCAGAGGATATTTAGCTCTCTTCCTCATCCCGATAAACATCTGATGAATGTAGATGTTTGCTCCCCATGTACATCACATTATATTATACAATTTATAAGACTCTAAATGAGTCGCTTTAGACGAAAACAAATAATTTAACAAAGTGTTTTTCAAAATGCTTTTTGAATCATCTGTTCCCATTTAACCACAGTACAGTATAAATGCACATATATTTATTGGATCCTGAATTTAATCAATGCGATGAATTTACATGAAATTAACAGATACTGCATGCGAACAATAACAACTATTTACCAATGAAATTGTTTTCATCAAAAAAGGCCACGCGTTAGCGTATCTACATCGTGAATTCTGAAAATTTCGTCCTGAAATGACAAATTAAACTCTTGCGCCAGGCTGGTTTTCGGGAGTGGTGACTTAGACAATGGCTTGAGACATCACCAGCACATGTCATGCAGTCTGTGTTAATGGTGAGAGGTCTCGGTCGAGGGGTCTGGGAGACAAGGTCTAGTAGCTAAGCTTCCCCAAACCACCGTCAGTATTTATGTGACAGGTAGATTGGTTGATCCTAGGGTTATGACATCTGTGTGTCATTTCCTGCAGTCTTCATTAATGTAGAGATAGGCTGGACATCCCGATCATTCAGTTGTGTTAGAGATAATTTTTGCTTAAGAAAAGTTGTGGTTTTGGTTTTGTGTTTAAGTTTCATGTATGGTGGTGTATCTTTTATGTTGATGGTAGATATATTGGAAGAGTTGTAAATTCGTTCGTCTTTAGTAGCATTTGGATGTGTGTAGTGTGAGTTTGTGGTGGGTTCCCCGTTTGTTAAAGGTTTGGGTGTTTAGTCTGGTGTTTGAGCTACGTGTTGGTCTGTGTGTAGTGGTGGTAGTATATCTTATTGTCAAGATATTAACTTGACTAGGGGATCTATTTCGACGTGCTGGGTTGTATTTTGGCTTTATCGAAGTTTTGCATTATTTTGGTTCGTAAATTTCGTGTATGTTTGGCGGCGTTTGTGGTATCTATGTGGTGGCTAAGTTGTTTTTCAATGGTTTGGGTGTGTAGTGTCATGTCTGAGGTTCATTTTGGTGTGTGTGTTATGGTAGTAGCATCTCTTGTTGTTGAGATATTAATTTGGTTTTGGAGGCTGTCTTCCCGTGATTTCATTATGTTTTGATTATCCTGTGTTTGTGGTTTGTCGGGATCGTGTAGCGTATTGATTAATTGCATCAAGTTGCGGTCAGTTTGTTTCTTTTAATTTGTTTTGTTTGTTTGGTTTGTTGTTTACCCTTTATGGCGAGGTGTTTTTATTTTGATACGATGTGTGCGTTGGGGGAGTTGTTAGCTTGTTCGCGATTGGTTGTATTTTGGTTTTATCGGAGTTTTGTGGTATTTTGGGTTGTAAATTTCGTGTTTGTTTTGTGGCGTTTTTTGGTAAGTAAATGGTAGGTAAGTTGTTTTTCAACGGTTTGGGTGTGTAGTGTCATGTCTAAACTTTATTTCGGTGTGTTTGTTATGATAGTAGCATCTCTTTTTGTTGAGATATTAACTTGAATTTGGAGGCTGTCTTCTTGTGATTTCATTATGTTTTGATTATCCTGTTTGTGTTTTGTCGGGATGGTGTATGCGTTTTGGTTAATTGTATCACGATATGGTCGGTTTGTTTGTTAAAATTTGTTTCGTTTGTTTTGTTTGTTGAAATGTGTTTTATATGATGCACGGGTAATGTGTTAGATAGTTTGTTGTATATGTTTGTATTTTATTTCCATTGTTCTTTAAGAATGGGTTGTTTATTCTGAATAGGGTTCCCGATTGGGGAAACCTGGTTTGGTTGGTCGTTTGTGAGTAAATGCATTGTTTTAAAGTATGAATCGGAGTGAGTGTTTATCTCCAAAGGTTTATAAAGTGTATATATTTTTGTATTGCCGGGTCGGCAGAAAAAGATTGTTGAATATATATTCGGCACGCTGATAAGAAATGTTTGGAACACCGAGTGTGGTGAGATGGTATAGTCCTTCTACTACAAAAAATGTGTCCGATCGTTTGTGAAATGAAATATAATTGGTAGTTGTCCATAAGCTGGGCAATGGGACATAGCCCGACGGTTTTTGTACTCAGGTTATTCACTTATTATGGGTTTATCCTTATGGCTAATGGAGACAGCCGTAATAACATAGTTTTCGGGAGTGGTGACTTAGACAATAGAGAATTTTCGTTATAAGTTGTTTCAAAAACTTATACGTATACTTATAGTTTAAAGGGTCTTGTCGAACTAAAATCAATTCAAATTGATTTTCATAATCTGTACCAAGTGGGGCATAACTATTCCCGATATAGTCAAGCTCCATCATCAACTAGGGACTGCGAATACAATGTCCTTTGCTAGTGTCAATTATGAACACGATAAACTAAACGCTAGTTGACGGGTCCTTGTAGTGTACGATAAACAAGACCCTTTAAAGTGAATCACTACACGAACGAGTCGTTCATTTCAAAGTTCTCATGAAATTATAAGGTCAATTTTTAAGTTTTTACGTATAAAAGGACCTTTATACGCAGAT